ATGGCCGCGCGGAACGCCTCAGCTGTCCAGTTTACGAGCCCCTCGATTGATTACGAATTCTGGAAGGATTTCTCCGAGGCGGATGGCACGTGGCTGTACGCGCCGCTGACGTCCTTGGCCCTAGATCACGAGTTCTGGAACGATTTCTCCGAGGCAGACTGCACCTGGCTGTCCGGGCCATTGGGATTCTCGATGGGTGAAGACTCGCCCATCGATCATGCCTTCTGGGAGGACTATAGCGAAGGCGACCAGACATGGCTGTACGTCCCGGGCGTTCCCTTTGTTGAGCCCGTTGTGACCCTCACGTTCGGAGCTGCAGCTGCCACCAGCAACGCTCTGACCAGCACCAGCAGCCGCAGCAACGGAAGCAGCAGCATCAGCAGCGACGGCGACGACAGCAGCATCGCTAGCGTTGCCAGCAGCAGCACTGTCGGCAACAGTATCATTCGCAGCAGGAGCCTCGGCAGCAGCAGCAGCAGCAGCAGCAGCAGCGGCAGCGACGGCAGCAGGTCGAAGCGTGGCAGCAGTGGCGTGGCGTGCATGAGCAAGAGGCGGCAGCAGCGGCTGCACGCCGTTGCGGTGCGCGTGGGGCGGTTGAACGAGGACGAGCAGAGCACTGCGCGCTCCCCCCGTGCGTCGCTGGGCTTCTCCCCGCTGCGACCCACCAAGCCCGCGAGTCACCCGCGCAGCAACACGCCCACGCCCACGCACGTCATGGGTGCACGCGCTGCTGCCACCACCGCTGCTGTCACCTCCGCTACTGCGCAGATCGCTGCTGTCAGCAGCGCTGCTGTTAAGACTGCTTCCGTGAAGAGCGTTGCTGTGAAAAGCGTTCCTGTGAAGGCCGCAGTTTCAGCAGGCAAGGGAACGCGTGCATCTGCAGCTGCACCAGCCAAGGCCGCTGCTGCTAGAAGCGTTGCTGTTAAGCCTGCAGCTGCAGCAGCTAAAGGAGCGCCGGCCAAGGCCACTCGTGTGACGCCGGCAGGTGCTGTGAAGAGCGCTGCAGTGAAGATCGTTAAGCCTGCACCTGCCGCAGCTAAAGCAACGCCAGCCAAGCCTACACGTGTGACGCCTGCAGCTGCTAAGAGTGTTGCTGTTAAGAGCAGCCCAGTGGGGTCGATGGCAACAAAAGCAGCGGGAGAGAAGGTGAGGAAGCATGGTGATGGGAGGGCAGCACGCGTGGCGGCGCGTGTGGCATCAGGGAAGGCGGCGTTGGGAGGGGTGGAAGCAGCAGAAGGGCGAGCAGGAGGTGTGGGGTCGGGTTCAGGGCGTGGTGGCGGTGGTGCGAGTGGCATACCTCAGCCTGGGCAGAGCAGGGCAGCGCACACGGGTGCAGCGGCTAAGGCAGTGCAGGCTGCGCCTCACAGCACTCGTAAACCGGCTGCTCCAGCAGCAGCAGTGGCCGCCACTCGCATTCCCAAGCCACGCCCCACAGCAGCAGCCAGTGGTATTCCCAAGCCACGCCCCGCTGCATCCAAGGCAAGCAGTGAACGGTGAAGCAGCAGCAGGAACACAATAGCAGTCGTTGCAATTGCAGGTAGGCAGCAGATCCAGAGGCAGTGCCTGGTGAAGCAGCAGCAGCAGCAGCATGAGGAGCATTAGCAGTAGCATAATTTGTAGCTACAAGCGGATCCAGAGCCTTATAAATGGCATGTGGAGGAAGGCGTGGTGCGGGGCGGGTGGGATGAGCATGGCTGGTGAGTTGAGCATGGCTGCTGGGGGCTGGTGGCAGGCGCATGGCGGGACTTACCCCTTTTTGCACCCTGCTTGCAGGGTGTTGTGGGAGAGATGGCAGGAGAGGTGGAGGCATGTGGTGAGCTGGAAGGTGGTATGTGCTGTTGGGGGCTGGTGGTGAGCATGGGAATGGATCTGCTGCAATAGAGTTTATGGTCTCAGCAGTAGCTAGGATTTTCTAGTTTGGTGGTTGTTGTCTTAGCATCTTGTAACTATTTATATTGCAAGGATCGTATCGTATGTGGTTTCATCCCTTGTACATGCTCCCATTGTCATGCTTCCACTCTCATCATGCAACTGACATGCTCCCACCCATTCCCATGCTTCCGCTCACTTCTTGCAACTGACTTGCTCACATTCCCATGCTGATCATGCAACTGACAGTTTCCCATTCCCATACTTCCACCCTCGTCATGTAACTGAGATGTTCCAACAGCCATCATTGCATTGTCATAATCTCATTCTCATCCACATCATTTTTTTTTTGTATGAGCTGCCTCAGGAACTCTCAGTCAATCCCTGTTTTGATTACTGCTGGATTTCCAGTTTCTGATGTTACTTCATTTCTCCCAGTCAGGTTCCCCTCAGCCAGATTCTCCTCATATGATTTTCCAGTCAGGTTCTGCCACTGCTCTTCTCGCTACCATTTCTTATGACCCACCCTCCTCTCCACTTGCATGTGAGTTGTCCCAGGGGAAACGACATTTGTCTCTCCTCCCCCCCCCCCCCCGATCAATCTCTTCGTCGCAATTGTTTCCTCTACCATGCATTCTGGTGTTCCAAACTATGCCAGTTGCCTGAATATCCCGACTTTTTGAACTGTGCATAATATTCCTGCCTTCTCATCCCATTCCATGCCCCCATATGCCATTGTCATTTTCCCACTTGCATCTCTTTCTTTCATTTTCACCACCTTATCTCCTGCTAATGGTTTCATTATGTTATCCTCGTGATCCCATTCCGTTGATCCTGTTCTCATGCCTCCAGTTAACTCCCCATCCCATCATCATGTTTGCAATCAACTTCTCATTCCCATGGTTCCAGCCCACTGTTCTTTGTTGTCGTTTTTCTTGTCGCATCGTTTTCCCATTGTTCACTCACACGTCATTTGTCCAGTCATCTTCAACTCTCACCTCTCAAGTCTTCTCATGTTGTTGCCATATTTACCAATCAATCTATTTACCAATCAATCAATCACATATTGACATATTCCTGTTCAACTCTACCCTTCCAACTTCCCAATCCCTTCTTTCATTGCCAGATTCAAGTCAAATTGGTATTGCCATTTTTGCTTCTATCTTTCTCATTGTCTCTGTCATTGATTTCTAATCGTCATTTCCCAGCGAGATTCTCACTGTCATTTGCCCATCGCCGGTTGACCTGTCAGTTTCACAAATCTGCTTCGTCTGTTCACTCCCCATTGTCATCCTCCCATTGTCAGTTTCTTCCTCTGCCATGGGCCGTACAGGCTTCCCCGTGCACGCCCATCATCCCACCATCCATGTCGCCTCCCCCATGCTTTCAATTGCCTGCTTGCCATGCCTGCTTTGCCATGCCATGACTGCCAGCCATGCCTGCCATGCACAAATGCCATCATGGGGAGGCCACTCCCACACCCTCTCAGCCATGCCGCATGCATCGCCCATCCCTGGCCCTTCCACCCACCTCGCCCATCCCCTCCTCGTGCCCCACCCATACCATGCTCGCCGTGCACCAACCATGCTCTCTCGTGCCTCTCGTGCCTTTGTACGACATGTTCTCACTTGTTCCGAGCGCTGCGACCATGGAGCTTTCTCGTGCCTTTCACTTGTCATTTTCCCTCTCTCCTCTTCCAAGCTGTCACATTCGCATTGCTATTGCCATAAATTCCACCCCTGTCCTATTGTCATGTTCGTCTTGTCTTGATCTCATGGGCATCATCCCACCATCATGTTCCCATTTTCATCATTCTCTCATTGGTCACATGCCTCATGTCTTTGTACCATTGACACTTTCCCACTTGATACTGCCTTCTTTTTCGTCATTCATCCCATGTCACGTGTCCCACCAGAGTTCCTATTCTCAATCCCCTGTTGTCAAGTTTCCTGTGTCAATTCCTCTAATCACAACAGCGCGTAAATTTGTCCCTTCTCACCGCACTCCATGCCGCAGCACCCAGCACCAAATGCGCATATACTACATGCCTAGATTCCAAGCCACTGGGGGGTGCAGCATCTATGAAGCCACAAGTGTTTTGAAGTCTAGTGCAACACATCTAGCTACAAGCATGGATAAACCTGTCTAATGTGGTTCTTCGCTTCTTGGTATGGGTGCTGAAGGAAGCTGGATGGTTTGGTGTGGTGGAGGTCTAATTTCCAGAAATGGTTTTGCCAGCTTAGTTACTGGTACCATGAAACATATGTAGTAATATCTTTTGTAAACACCCTTCTGTATTGCAGAATGCTTCCAGACGTCAAACCAAATTGTACCGCACAAAGTCTCGAGCACACAAACCCCATTACCCCTTTGTAGCCTCGGCGCTTGAGCTCATCGTTGCTTGGACCAGCAGCAAATCCCAAAGCCCACGCGCCTCGACTCGCAGGTCGCCCATCGGCCAGGTCGCGGTGAGCCAAATCGCCGAGGCTCGATGCTTATGCCTCGGCGCGGCGGGTCGCAGTGCGGAAGAGCATCGGGGACGGGGAAATAGCTTTTGCGGAAAACGGGAGAGTGCAGCTGATTATGCGCCGACGCGGAGAATCAGGCTTAGCACGCGAAATTTGGGGGCAGAGGGGGAGAGGGGAAGTCGGAGAGCGTTCCCCTGGTGGGGAAGATGTTAGCGCGGTAGTGGCGTTTCCGTAGTATCTTACCTCCTGCCACGCAACAAGAGGAAGGAACGCAAAACGATCTCCTCATGCTGCGTTCTCGCGCCTAGTCATGCTTCCCCTTCCGAACAACTCGCGGCGCAAACGATGTGCGCATCTGGTCTTGCGCCGTGATAACAGATTGTCGTCACGGCAGCATTGCGTGCATCCCGCGTGTGGTCGCGCCCTCGCACCTCCGCCCACCGCCCTCGGCTCTTCCGTAACCCCCCGCCTTCGCCGCGTGGCGCGCGTATGCATTCCGCTGTTGCGAGCGCCTCTCCCTCTGTGCGCCTCCGCTTGACGTCGCCAACAGCGCGGGTTCGCACGAGCGTGGGGGACGCGGCGAGTGGAGGCGAAAAGTGGTTGCGGGGGAGCGCGGAGGGACGGGCGGAACGTGCGCGGGCGGGTTTGAAGCGCGGATCTGCAATGACGGCGCGGCGCGGAAGCCCTCCCGTTACAAGCGCCCTCGATAAACGCTCCCGGGGCAAGGGGGAAGGCAAGGGGGGATTGAGCACAAGGGGGAATGAGCGCAAGAGAGGATGGGCGCAACGCCAAGAGCGAGGGGAGGATGAGCGCTGCCATCCCCGCGCACCCACCGTTGCTGTCCACTTGCTTGTCTCCGTTGCTCCTCCCAGGTGCGCCGAGGACAGCCCCCCCCAACTAACGGTGGTGGTGGCGGCGGAGGAGGCGAGTGCAGGGACAGGCAGCGAGTGGGAAGCTGGGAGCATGATGGCAGCATACAGGCTGGCCAATTGTGATGAAGGGCGAGCAGGGGAGGTGCGAGCAGGGGAGGTGTGGGTACTGGGTGGTGAGAGTATGGTTGGTGTGAGTATGGGAGGTGTGAATATGGGAGGTGTGAATATGGGAGGTGTGATCATGGGAGGTGTGAATATGGGAGGTGTGAATATGGGAGGTGTGAGCATGGGAGGTGTGAATATGGGAGGTGCGAGCATGGGAGGTGTGAGTATAAGAGGTGAGGTGTGATTATGAAACGCAGTGAGGCAATGTTTTTTTTTCTTCTTCTTTTTTTTTTTTGTAAATGATAATTGGTACAGTACACCGAAAGGGCAAGCGTACAACACCAAGAACGGTCGTAACCGTGCGTGAGGGGCAGGGCAGACCCTAACCCCGAAAACAAGACACACTAGGGCACGTTGGGGCAATGAGGCAATGCGAGGGTGGGGATTTGGAGCATGGTGAGTGGCAGTGAGGGCACGGTGGGTGGAGCATGGTATGGAGATGATGGGGTTGGAGTGGCAAAGAGAAAATATGGTGGGGCCATGAGAGGGGAGTTCTGTGTTCCAGAGGCTGTGACGGATTGAGAAGAGGTTGGGAAACAGGCATCTGGTATGTGCTGCGGGATGGATGGATGGGCTTGTGCGGGTTGCCATTCACTCAGATTCCCATTCCCACTTTCCCAGCTTACTTTCCGGTGCAATGTTCCTTCTCCCACTTCCTGGTTTCCACTTCCATTTCCCTGTCACCCTTCACTGTTGCTTTCTGAGTCTTCTCGTATTGTCCTTAGTTCGAACATCTTCCTGTCATTTTTCCTGCTTACCTGCAGTAACGTTTTTGAAGCTACTCTGTTTATTTGAAGACTTTGGCCAGCCAACTTCTCGTTTATTTTTCACATTCCAACCTCAGTTGTTGCAGGCATGGCATCTCCCTCTCATGGGGCTGGAAGGAACACCGGGCCACACCATGCCACCGTGGGCCATTCATTGTCGTTAATGCGGTTTGCCATGGCAGACCACCGTGCTGTGTGGCGGTTGTTTTTGCTCCAATGCCGTACTATCAATCGGCTTCCGTTCCTGCTGACTGCTGATGAACAGGAAATTATGCTTCATGTCTGGCGATCTCGCTGACTGACAACACATTTTCATTCTGCACTCACCTTGGCCATTGCAACGACAGGTGGTAAGAATGCAGCAGCTGGTGCCAGGGATGCAGCGTTGAGTGGTAGAGATGTAGCAGCGGAGGCAGAGTGTCGATCTGAGGGGTCTAAGCGGGGGAAGAAGGGGTCAAAGCGGAAGAGATCTTTGAGTGGCGACGTGGACAGCAGCGGTGGAGATGAGGCATTGACAGGTGTTGAGGCTGCAGTGGCAGGATGAGCAGGGCCATCGCGTGTGGAGAAGGGGCAGGATCTTGGTTCTCAATAAGACTACCGTACCTCACTGATGAAGCAGGGGTTCTCATGCGTTGAACACCCTTTTTCTTGGTGTTGTGAGATGTGCAGGGGGGAAAGATAATGATGACAAAAAATAATGAAGTCATAACGCAAGTTGTGGGCAAGGATGTCAAGTTGTGCATTGACATGGTTGTACATTCTTACATATCAACGGCTTGGAATTTTATGTCAAGGATTAGAGCAGCTGCATCAGTTTTGGAGAACGGATTGGATTGAATGAGGTGAAACACTTTTATAGACATAAACAGATGTAACGTTTCCGAACTTCAAAACCCACCAGCCGCAAATACCCTCTCGACCTTGCCGCATCTCCTAGTGGCAATGAACGCCCCGGACTAGAACCACCTTTCAGCTCATTCCCTAGTTCTTGACGGGGAACACGCCAGCCAATCCCATCGACTCTATTGTCCGCTTAGCCAGGCCCATCGCTTCGCGCATCGAGATTGACTAGCACAGGTCGGGTCAGTACATTCTCATCAGCCCATGGCTTTCACACGCCGTGCCATTCCATGCCGTCGGATCATTTGGCTGAGTCAGATTTGCATAGACGATGACGTGGAGCAGCAAATCCCAGGTGTGACTGTCTCACCCACATGTTTCGGATACCTAAAACTTTCCACGGAAGCATTCCGAACCACTGTTTTAGAAATTGTGGGCCCGGACGTACCACCGTGGCGAGTTGCGGGAACTTTGGCGAGGTCCTTGTTGCTTCGGTTCGGATGCCATTATATCTGCCATTTCGACATTGTCGGTGGCGAACGCGCACTTACCAAACCTTAACCTTAGCTATGGCACCATACCTGAAACTCCCGTTGCCAACGGAACCCCTTCTCCGCTCGTCAACTAGGGCGGCTCGCTCATCAGCATCTGTCAGATCTGACGCTGCTCTTACAGCAACGAGTAGACAACCCCGTCTGTCACCCATTCATTTCAGTTGAATCACATCGTTCTTTACTCACACAGCTCGTTGCTACCCCCTTCCTCAAGCCTCAAGGTTCTCTTTACATCTAACTGCTGATGGCCGTGAAAACCCTCGCTGCATGCAGCAAGGCTGAGCCCGACGATCTCTTCTACTGGGAAGAGGACCACGGGTCCGTCCCAGCAGGACTGAAAAGCCAATATCTTCCTGCTGCCTCCGCCTCTCCCAGCTGGAGCGATGCAGCACGCAAGCGATCCACGCCTGCTGCTGCTGCTCCAAGTGCCAAAAAAGCACGGATCTCTGAAGATTCGGAAGACGAATTTTCGTATATGAGCGAGTTGGACTTGCTGGAATTCCGTCAACGGTATTTAAATACCGAAAGCATCTGCAGCAGTGAAGGAAACGTCACCTTCCTGTCAAAGGACGAGTTTCTCGCTTCCACAGGCAAGAAATCGCCTTGGATTATGGTTGAAAAAACTGCTGCCAGTAAGAATGATGCTAAGAAAAGCAACAGGAGCGTGATGGTCTGCACCTTCAGCTCCATCAGTGCAAACAGCACGAGCTGCGCATCTGTGCAGATTCCTCCTTCAAAAGCCAGCACAAAAGATTCAGTGAAAAAAAGCTCGAACAAATGCCAGACCTTGGAAAAAAACATTGGCTCTCCAACCTGAGACAGGCTTCAGCTGCTGTTTTCCCTGTTGACCCTGTTGCATTTGCTGCGAAGTACCCTGACATAAAGGCAATGCAAAAGCCAGAGTCTGGTAAGGGACAAAAGCAAACAAGGCATCAAATGGGAAGGCTAGAGGGACAAGGCGGATGAGGAGGTGGGTGAGTAGAGCTTGGTCAAGCATAGCCTTGAATAAGTGGCACAATGGCAAGTAAGGCAAAGCTGGTGGGGGTGTTGTGGAAGGACGGTGGTAGGGGTACACCCCCTTTTTTCCATCCTGCCTGGCAGGATGTTGTGGGAATGATGGTCTGAATGGTGATTGGTGAGAAAGGAACGGGAAGGGGTGCCGCTGTAGTGTAGATTATACTTGGCAATTATGTGTGCTTTAATTATCTCAATATATGAATCACCTTTTCATTCTCTTGTAATCATCACCTTTTCCTTATCTGGTATGGATGGTGGTGAATGGGAGCCTTGAATGGGGGATTGAGTATGATGATAAAGAGTATTGGGGTAGGCTTACCATGCTTCATGTTTAGATGGGACGCATGCGGTTTGATCAGGTTGTACATAGTCATCAGATGGAATAGGCATGAGTTTGAACTGAACACCACCATGGTCAATGCTAATAATCAATGGTCAGAACATGGAGAAATAATGAAAATAGATAACCATTGATTTTTGGACCATAATGTCAAGAATGAGCGGCAATGGTGAGGCTGAACACAATAACAGAAACAGTTTTCTTGTTGATACTTAAAAGAGTGAAGAGTCAACAGGAACTAGACCAATGTTCAGAGAATCCTAGAGGATCGGGTTGACAACAGAACATAAAATGAACGAAGGAAATGAATGATGATGCCCATGGGAATGAGCAGCAGTTGTCAGAATGAAAGGAGCAAAGGCGAGAATCTGAGGGAGTCATGAAGTAGGACGTCCATGCCTTATATTTGATTTATGCTCCCACTGCCACGTTCCAACTATCATCCTTCTGCGGAGATAACTCTAGTAACGGGAGCTAGACTACGGGCTAGGCACGGATGCTCGTGTGATCTCTGCGTTCGTTGGTCCTTAGTCGTTTTCCTAGTGCGCACACTACTTGCTAGTTCACAAGACAATTTGGCAAGAGTTTCACTAGAGAAAGTTGACAACAATGATACAAAGAAGTTGGCTAGGAAAGACTACATCAGAGCTAGCATGCAAGCAAGTCTACTGCCAGCGCAGCATGGTCGACCGCGTGCCAGCACGACTTGGTCGACCGCGTGCCAGCACGACTTGGTCGACCGCGTGCCAGCACGACTTGGTCGACCGCGCTCCAGCAGTGCAAGGACGCGACTTGCCAACGCTGCAGGGCGACGGCGTCACAACAGTGCAAGTCGACGGCGTGACAACAGTGCAAGTCGACGGCGTGCCAGCGTTGCTCCTGCAGTCTAGTATCGCACCCGCTTCGCAGGTGCTCGTAGATGATTGGCGTGCACTGCTTCGTCACCTGCACAGCGCACACACCAAGTCCACCTCGCGCTGACGACTGCTTCTGATGCACCACGTCGACCTCGGGATACCATCACCGAGGTCGTCCTCGCCAAAACCACCTGGACGCGTCTCCTCTGGTACACTGGTACTTTCGTGGTCAAGTTGAGCGTCATGACTGCGCGGTTGCAACATCCCAACTCCTTCAGGGTATAGGCAAACGTCTGCTGGTGCGAGGCTAGCAGAGCCCCCACCACTTTCCGCTGTTCCCCTTGCAGTCCTTCTCCCACGTCCCACACGTGCTGCTCTTCATCGTGCCCTCCTGCCGTAGCTTCCATTTCCCCGCTCGCCCTCTCTTCCTCTTGCGGCGACTGCTTTGTCTCGCTTGGGGTGACGTCCAGCGCCATGAATATTGGCCTTATGGGTGGCCAATCTGGTGGGTCAAAGTAATTTCCTTCCATGTCAAAATATGAATCGTGAAATTCTTCTGGGGTATCACCTCTGCCTGCCCCCGATTCTTCTTCCGTCTCCTCTTCCTCTTCCTCCCATTCCTCCTCGCTCTCTGGTGGGTCAGCATACATCCCTGGGATCGCTTCTCTATCATCCCTCCAACTTGCGTGCCTGCGTTCTTCCGGGATTCCCCTCCACCACTGGTTTTCTTCCTTCTCGTCCAAGCACCCCAGCATTGTCCAAGCCTCTGTCTCCTTATTTGCCGCCAACTCTGACTGGCCTGATCGAAGTTGCCTTGCCGATCCGCCTCCCCAGCCATTTCCTCTCTAGGTGGTTGGTCATGGTGACAATTGGCCAGTGTAGAGCATTCAGATCCATTGCCCTTCCTAGTGCCACTTTCCCTTCCTTCTCCGTCATTTGCAGGCACGCCGTTGCCCCTGCCAGGAAACCCATGGCCAACTTTCTCTCTTGTGTGGTGGGTTCTTTTCACACTCCTCGCGCCTGAAAGTACACAATCCCTGGGCCCGCAACTCCTCCGACCTCTTTGAAACCCCTTGCGCTCTCGTACGCCACCAGCGTCGGCCAGGCCTGCCTTGGCTCCCCCACTTTGTTGCACGGGTATTGCGTGGGGTGGTCTTCCTCCGTAACTGGTGCCGCCAGTCTCGCCCTCGTCTGCTCCATCCTCGAGAGGTGGTATCTCAGTGCCGCCTCAGGTATGACGTTCTGCCACTACCGTCTTGGCCTGTGAGCCCTGCTCCCATTCTGCGCAGCATCCCACGCTACTCCTGCCCCCAGCTCTTCAGTGATTTCTTCGTTGGCCGTCCGTACCGCCGGCCGCGGGTCATCTGCTATGTCCACATTCTCGATGATGTAAGCCACCTCTCCTTGACGCTTCTTGATCATCTTCTGCACTCGCACCATATCCCGAAACTGCGCGCTCCTTGCATCTCCCATACCTCTGCCTCTTCCTGCACGTGAAAACCCTTGGCAGCTCCATCCGGCAATCACTAAGTCGATCCTTCCCCACTGTGCGAGCAAGCCGTCGTCGATCTCCTCCACTCCACTGCACAGCCACTCTGCTCCTCTCTCCACGGCTTCCACAATCAGCTGCCCGTGGTACCTGGCCTTTAGCAGCTTGAGGTGGTGCCATGCCATCAGGTTAGCGTCACCGTCGTTGTCCACATATAGATACCTGGTCACGATGTGGCCTGATTTCAGCACTGCCGCTAGACCCGTGGCGATCCCTCCATATAGCTCCAACACTACCAATGGCTTCTGCAGCGCCCTCAGGTTCAGGACTTGTTCCCGCAGGTTGTCGCTGACTCCCCAGATTTCCTCGTACTGCTTCCTTGCAGATTCCGTCTGCCCCATCTCTTTACAGGTCATGATGCCAAGCTCCTCCTCCACCGGCTTCTCCATAGCTTGGTATGCCTCCCTTGGTTCCCTCCTGATGAACCGTACAGGTAATTCTGTTAGTGAGCTGTCATGCTCCCAGTAGGTCACCCGATACATCAACCGTTGTTCCCACATGCAGATGGTAGTGCCGATTGCGAACAGATATCCCACCCCGAGTAGCAGATCGTAGTCCTCGGACGTTGACACCCCGCAGTACATCCTCACTATGCACTCATCCTGGTGTCCAGGTCGAATCACTATTTCCACCGTGCTGCGAGTCCTCGGCATCCACTTCGTCGTCCCTCCTTCTGCGGT